CCCCCCCCCCCCCCCCAATTTGAGCTAGAAGTGATGTGCCTGTATCTGAGGATCCTGTGGAATAGTCTTTCATGAGTTTGTCCGGTCCGTTTTTGAATCTTTGACAGCTTTTTTTAGTCTGGGTCAAGAATTCCAGTAGCTTACCTACACGTCATATGGAATTAAATCTATTCCTTCTTATCTTATACATTGCAATTTTATACCTCTAACTTGCTTTTTTGGTTGTTTTGAGGGTTTTTTGGGTTTTTTTACTGGAAGAAATGGTGAACAGCTTCAAGGCACTCCTAGTGTTTATAGTCTTGCCCTGATACCTTCAGGCTTCACAGCTTAAAGAAGAGGATGTTCTGTTTAACTGTGCCATATGGATGGACCCTTGTAATGTTTTGGTCTTCCATGTATCCTCCTTGTATGCTGCCTTCCAATTGTCCTGTTAAAAAGCCTTCAAGATAAAAGAGCATTTTCTGCTTTTATTTTTCTTTCCCCAGTTGTTTTTTTGCCCACTGCTAGTGTTGAGCTGATGTTCTCTTGGATCTCCTAAAACTGGGAGCTCACTTGTTTCATATTAAATTGGTGATTATTTCTGCACTGTGAAGCTGAAACTTTTTTTTAAATTATTGTTCAAAATGCATCACTCTATACTGAAATTTTAACTGTCTGTTTTACTGTCCAGGCACTCAGTGTTCAGACCTGCCTGCAGCTCTTCTACTCAGCCCTGGGCTTTAACATCTGGATGAATCAACTTTTATCACCCCACTGTTCATCTTCTTTTCCAGAGCATTAGTTTGGTGTTAAATAGGACAGATATGGCCTTGCTCCACTGTAAACTATCTGGTCATCTGAATTGGGTTTCCTCTTGTGTACTTACTGACTTACCCAAAGGATTGTAGTAGGCGGGAGTCATATCTCTCAAAGGAAAGCAGTGTTAGCTCTCTACAAAATAACATTTGCTAATTTATCCACTGCTTTTTCCTAAATTCTTACCATTTGGCTCCTAGGTTAAAGTAAAGGGGAGTTTACCGGATTGCAGCAGTAATTCTGTGCTGAAAACAATTTATTGCTCTGTACAGACTTGCATATACACCCATTATCAAGCTTTGTCCTCCTTTTTAATCACTGGTATTTCCAGAAGATCTTAGAGTAGGTGTTTGTTATGCAAGCTAAGAACATGCCTTCCAGTGATTTTGAGCACAGACACAACATATTTTTGGCCACTGTTTAATTAAAGAAGCAAATGAATTTTGAAGTGTAAACAAGCTAATATAGATCATAGTAGTCCACAGCAATTAAAATTTAAGTGAGATCTGATCACCTGCAGATTGGTTTGTTTTTAAAAGGGGGAAAAGGTTGCACAGGAATATTTAAAAAAAAAAAAAAAAAGTCCAGAAATAACTTTGGAGTTTGTTTACTACCAAGTGAAAGAATATCCAAGCCTCAAACCCTGGCCTTCAGAGAAATCTCTAGGTTTGTATGGGCCCAGGACTTTCAGGTTTGGGGACTTACAGATACGATGTCGTTATAACAGAAAAATCCCAGTTTAAATGTAGATGTTCACTTCACTTAGTTTGATTGTAGCTAGAGGGAGTAATGCAGAGGTTAGCACAGCCTGCATTCTCTGGAAGTAAGGGAACTAGTCAAAGTCTCCTGCAGTATTTAAGAAGATGGAGTAAAGTACAAAGTTATACATTTATCCCATCAACAGTTAATGTCTTATTTAGAGATCGGTCCTATGTTACTTCTTCGCTTTCAGCATCTTCTTTGTGTCATAACTTGCTGAGTATTTTAAAAATACAATACTTTTCTGATTTTTCTTTTTCTAGGAGAGAGGTGTGGAGGAGGTCTTTTCTAAACATTCCAGATCCTCCACTTACATTCTGCAGTCCTAGAATCTCATGACTTTGAATAAATAAATTCCACAGTGGATAAAATAATTTGCCCTGTTCATCATGATGAGGAAGTGGGCAAAGCTCGTGACACAGAGCAGGTTTTGACATTATCTTTAAGTTCTGTTACTTTTTTTTTTTTTTTAATAACTCAATTACCTAAGTTTGTACCACTTTAAAAATCTCTTCACAAGTTTTCTTTCTTGCTCCATAATGGTCTCTTGACCAAGCAGCATTAAGCACCTCTTCTCCAGCTAAAATCCTCTGTAACTTTAGATCAGCCTTCCTTAAGAAGTTCATGTGTTACTACAATTCTGTTGTGTTAACTTGATTCCTTGGGGGCAGAATTCAAAAAGGTAGCTAGGGATACCAAGAGGTGGCCGGTCACTGAACGTAGCAAAGGTTAAATTTTGTGTTTCAAAGGTCTTGTGTAAAGAAAAAAAAAAAAATTCCTAATCCTCTAGGCAGAAGGTTTAGTGTTCTCAGACTCAAGAGTTCGTATGAGAGAAAATTTTAGCTTTAGACATTAAAATGCTTGGAAAAGTTGCTCTTCCTTCATAGACTCTGGTCAATACCCTTTGCAGCTATTGGGTTCTTTTCTGCCAGCTGTGATAAATGTGTTAATCCTTTGACAGCCAGAGATGCTGTCAGATTGGCTGGTGAATCTTATCTTTACTTCCTTTTGTAAAATGCATGTAATTCTTTTGGATGTGAATTTTCATAATAAAAAAGTGAACCATGTTTCATGCTACAAGAAAAGCAAATAGATTTGTCAGAGTTGGAGCCAGTGAGCAGAGCAATGCCTGACTCGGTAGATCTGGCTTGCAGGAATTTTGAGTGCTTTGGGTTTGGAGCACAGATTTTTAAACTTTTATTTGAATTTTGTGTTTCAGTCCTGCTGCTTTGCCTAGTCAGAAGTGGGTACATACAGTACATTGCACTTACTTAATACTATATGTGTTTTCAAAAGTGATTGCTGCTTTTCTTACAATTAATTAGAGTCATTAGAAGAAAAGCTGAAGGTCAGAAGGTGGCTCCTTAGAAAATGTGCTACTTCAAGGAATCTCAGTTCCTCTGTTGATCGGGATAACAAATAGGAATCTGTTACAAAATTCTGAATTTGGGATATTTGCAAGAGCTCTTTCTGGATAAATGAGGGTGTACCCATGGGCAGATGAGGCAGCCTAGGGGGAAGGCAGTTACTGCAACTGTATGTTGTTGTATATTGAATAACTTGATGGGGGTGTGTGACATGAAGTGCTTAGTACAGATAGGTGCTCATAACTGCAAGTGTTAGAAGAGGAAGGGAGATTCTGGCAGGTGGCTCATCGTGGCTTTATTTGTGTGAGTCCTCCTAGTACAAGGTAATCTGGGATCACTTTGGTAAGCAGCAGAGAGAGATTAGTTTGCTCAGGTGAGGATCTTGTGAACAGCTGAGCATGGTTTGTGGCAGCTGGGTTAAGGAGCTATTCTTTTGGATAATAGATCATTTAAGGGTGCAGGAGGATGGGACAAAGGGACTTGACTACATCTTCCGTGTCACAATAGAAAAAATTGCAAATAATCACAAGGCTGTATTTGTCCATTTCCCATATGTCCAATTCATCTGAGGTCACTTTAAACTGTTTACCTCTTTGGAACAGGAAATACATGGCTTCCTGGTTTACAGAGCACTAAGCTGGATGTCAGCTCTCATTAAACAGAAAAGAATAAGAATGCAATTAGCCTGGTGGATAAAAGGCAGGAAAAAGTCTCTTAACTATGAAAAATCAACACTCGAGGAAGTAAACCACATGTGGAGAACAAATGCTGGAAAAAAAAAATCCAACTGTTTAGAACAAATTCCTTCATTACTTAAATAAACAGCAGCATAATTTCTTGGAGTGACAGTGTGAGCTGTTTTGTACCCTGTATCTGTAAGAAGAATTCATTGCTAACTTAAAAGCAGATGGCTTTAGATGGCCCTGGGTGGGTTTTCTGGGAAATATTAGTTATATATTGTGATACAGGAACAGAAATATCCTAGTAATTCTGCAACAGGCTAAAAGGAACATGGATAGTATAAAACAAGTACAAAATATGCTGCGTCTGTATCCCATATTTCAGGTAGATTAAAAGCAGTCATGCTTTTTTATTTATTTATTTTTAAAACAGTACATGTCCTCTGGGAGAACAGACATCTTAAAGTTCATTTGGATCAAGACACAGATGCCAATAGGCTCATGGCCAGGCTCTGTTGTGCATTCTTAGGTTTGAAAAATACTTCCCTTCCTGCTTTGGAGACAAAAACCCCTTTTACTCTTTGTGGTTTGATTATTCATTTTTTGAAGCATATGACAGCAAGTTACTTAAAAGAATTTTAATGGGCCTTTTTCTTTCCTTTCAAATAAAGATACAGCATCAGCATATAGCAGTGGACACTTCAGGAATGCTAGTATTTCTCTAGAGTCTTATTTAAATCAGATAAATAAAGGTGAGAGTAAAGAGTGTTTTATTACCTTTTAAGATATAAATGAAACTTAAATCTCCTGAGTATCTTATGCCTCATTCCTTGCTGATCACAAGTGAGCTGATGCCTATAGAACCACTGTTCTTGGAGCTAATGCT